CTCTTTCCGTTTCTGTTAATCGCTGAGATGTTCAGTGCAAAGTACACAACATTATCATCTCTCATATGCTAAGTGACATCAGGATGCATTCTTTTCTCCTGTACGTTCAAACTTCAAGTGAAACCACCGTCACTTGAATTACTCCCAACCATCTACATGCTATCGAAAATCTTGATTGTTGTTTTGATTGGTTGACTTATTCACTTCTCGACAGTAGTACAGTAATTGACCATCGGTAACTCATCTAGGGGAGATGGCCGAAAACCCTGATTCCAAACCGACAAAGAGGAGGCGCACGAACCACGAACACCTTTCCGGTTGTGGCAGTGATCACCGGCTCGATTGACATCGGATTCACAACTCTCATTCTATCACCCAACGTTGTACCCTGTACGACTGAACCCCACCCAGTAAATCATCAATTCAAGGTATTCACTGTTACACATTGTAACATTGATGAGAAACGTGTTTTGGACATATCTTTTTGTATCCTAGCTGTCACATTTTCTTCGAGCACAAATTTCGCAAAATACATCAGCTATTTTTACTTGGGAAGCCACAAATACATAAATTAGCAGCTTTTCTCATTCACAACTCCTTATGTCAGTTATGTGAACAAAAAACTAATCGACAGAAAATTACCATAATAAATGATTCAGTAAATATAGTGAAATTCATATTTTTATCCGAAGACAAATTGCCAGGATTTTCCAAAGAGAAACGTAAGTCCTGAAAAACTTCGTCGTCGGAATAGTCTCCCCATGAGATGAAAAAACACGTTGAGTCCTGAGTGGCTGATAACCTCATCGACCAGACCGAAAGAAAATGTGTCCCATAATACATAAAACTCCAAATAGAATTGCTTATTTACTCTATCAAACCACTTGAAACCATTGGTTATTACTTGAATTCCGCCCTAGACATGGTACAGTCAACTGAAGCATTTCTCAATCGATCAGTAATTCAAGTCAGTAGAACACTGCACACGCTTATTAATGAGTGTATTTATGCTTATATGGTGCATGTTTGCTCACACCGTCACGTGACCATCAAGCTGTACAATAACTTGACTTTGATCTCCATCAAACCTTTCAGTACATCTCGTCTGTCACCAGTTTTGTTCAACAAAACGGTTTGTGGATGCGCACTGTATGCACTGAACCAGTCGCTTACGGCTAAGAAGCCCTAGGTGTGTATCATGCGGTTGTTAGTACAAAATTAATCGTCGAGTTTATTTGAAATACCTAACAGATGCAAAAAAGCGACGTTCGAATTTAAACATGATCCCTTCAGATGACGACAAAAACGTGGTAAAACCTTGTCTTTACGTAAACTTTCGCTTTTGTGTACCAAATCGTATTTCATGACCAAACGGTTCTGAGCTGGCTTCTGATTTCCAACTCGGTTCGAGTTAGGCGGAGCTGCTCCGTGGTAGGTAGCCTTGGTTTGACTGAGTCATACAGAAGAGGAATCTATTCCTCTCAAATTACCGACTAATAAGTGTTTTGTTTGTCGGAAAGATGCATATTTTCATTGCTCACTCTAAAGCACAGATCAGTATCCAGGACGTGGGCTCCACAATCATAGAGAACCCTCCATTCGATTATGAGAGTCGTCAACGTGAAATCCGGGTTTATATCAATGACCCATACGAACCACATATTTTCATGTACATACGGCCTTGTCCTTGAATGAGGATAGTGTTATTGATACGATTCCAGGTGTCAGAAATTCGAATCTGGAGTATGTTGGTCACATTGTACTGCTAAGTTAAGATCCAGGTAAGTTGCAAGCCTTTCAGGATCGTTTCAGTACGATTGTAGCTATTGTCAGGGAGTCAGCTTACTCCCTAAAACTCCTTTGTTCTGAGACAACCAAACAGAATAAGTAAAGGTGAACTCAGGTAATTCGCCGGAACTGGCATCTAATTAAGACGTTGGAGAGCACTCCCGTCAATCAATCATTTGATACGTGCATTCTCCTGTCCTTGCTCTTTTCTATAAATAATCATGATTTTTGCATAATAAATGAATACAGTTACAATATTTATGCTTGTCATGCGTTGTAAACCTTCATAATGTTAAATTTTGCTACAGGGAAAGTAATAGAGGAAGTGAAAAAATTCCACTATCTGGGAACTCATATTCCACCCAGTAGACTCATCACAGATGAAGTATCTACAGGCAAATAGAAGGCTCCATTGGCACTGGCGAAATTGAAACGTCTCTGGCGGCGCATGAAATTAGGCTGTCGACGAAATATCGTATATTAAACGCAATATTTTGGTTAGTGCTACTTCATGGTCCAGAGACTTGGTCGTTACCGGGACGGGGTATCGATAAACCACTGACTTTTGAACACCTCTGTTTACCCTGCATTGAATGAGTCTGGTGGGTTACCAGACAAGTAATTCTTAGGTTGGAGTAGGTGATCGACCTCGGTAAATTACTTCGTTTCGTTCATAAGTTACGCATGTCATTAAAACGAGTGCCAAGAATCGTCATGTTTGTCGAGTCAGATAGTGGGTGTGTAAAAGGCTTAGGTTGTCACATTAAGACCGGTCCTGACGGTATGAAAATCCTTAGCAGGAGACTCGGTCATATAAGTTGCGTTAAACTTTCTGGGCGGTACCTCGGGATCAGCCTATCTGACGGTTACATGCAATTAGTGATATGGCTGAGTGTCGTAAACAGTGGCACTTGAGCCTCTTCTCAATCTGTTTACAACCTTCATTGCCTAAACTTATCCGCTTTTGTCTTTGTATTTCTATTTGTATAGACTTCTTCGTGGACAGATGCCTGCATATCAGTCCAAAATTACACATCTCAACGAAAGAAGGAAATAATACAAGTAGAAAATGTAACCTCCGGGGTTTCGGATAAATGCAAAAGAAACGTACTTTCGGATTACAAGGATTCTGGTGAGATAGGAAACTTGAAAATTTCTTTAGAAGTTAAGGCGAGAAGGTAATAAACGATATATGGAACGCGTAGATGAATGAGAGCGGTATTGTGATAGATCGCCATGTAAAGGATGATTGAGATCAGGAAGGATTTTCTGTGCAAATGTTTCACAGGCGGGTAAGTGAAGTTCACAGTTTTTAGATAGACCATCAACTGCTTGAGTCTACGAAGCTGAAAAGATAATCCACGAAGTTTCTTCACACGGTTGTAAGGATGGGATGACTACTTTAAGTTTTTGTATTTCCTAAATACCGCGCGGAATCTTCTCTAGTTAGAGGGTCTGTGTTAATGATAGAGAGGTCACGGGGTTAAACAGAATGAGAGAGGATAAAAGTGCATTCGAATCACCGGGATAAGTTAAGAGACGGTTCAGAACGAACAGAAAGTTCATGGATATGGGATAAGTTGCTGGAGAAATTTAGAAGGTCCTCATGCACAAAAATGGCTTGACAAAGGTCTACGTCTTCAGCTTTCAACATTCCAATCTCAACTCCTACTGTTTCAACTAAACCGGTGGTCAAGAGACAGCAACTGAAATCGCCACCCAAGTTCGCATGGTTCAATGGATTTCCTAACTGAAAACTTTCTAATCACATGCGTGATTTGTAGGTGGGGGTTCATGTGACACAAAACTGCATTGTGATTAGGGAAGGTTATCGGCTAATAGATGTTGCGGAATGGGGAGAGTGGGACTTCCATTTAATCAATAAACCCATGATTTGTGCAGGGTCGACTCACAAACCACGTGATATCTAACGGGCGTGGTCCGGAAATTACCAAAAAATGCTCAAATTGGATCCATTTCAAAGAGAGTACCTGGCAAAATGTGATAAGAAGCCAGCAAAACAAGTTCATATTAGTTATGATAGGTATCAGATAAGTGGGTAATGTGTAACAAAATGACATGATTGAGCTCCGTTTTCAATCGTATTTTGGGATGTGCGACTTTATTGACACAACTCTGACGAGCTGAAACTTAAAACCAAAGTATTGATGGAAGGCCTTTACTCACTTTGAAAGACCATTTGCAAGTTAACGGCGAATTCAAGATGTGCTCTGGAAGACAATGCAGGTAAATATTTCTTATGTTTAATCAGGTGTGCCGTTGGGGCATAAGATGAATTTAAATTTTCCACCATATTATTTTGCCTTCGTTTCTGTTTGACATGGTCAACACAAAGCAATAAATCAAAAGATGATGAAGTGGTGGTGGTGGTGATGTTCAATGTGTTTCAATCAATATTAAATGACCCCATGTAGTGTGAATTGAAGTTCCACTACTCCCACTCATCGTTCAACTTGTTCTTGTACCCCAATCAACCTTCTGTTGATCTCAGCCTACTTCGAGAAAATGGTCTGTACAACGGAATCTTTATTATAAATAGATATACATAGTAGTAATGTTAGTTATAGTAATAAATGAAATGGTAGAAACCACTGTTATACACTTGTTGTCAGCAACTAAATTCATCTATTACAAGAGTAAGTTGGTGGTTATCATTCGCTTTGGAAACAACGAACCTGCCTTACCTAGATCGATCCGTTTTTATTGCAAGCAAACGTTACATATACTCCCACATCAAATTAATGATCGCATTCATGTCCTCTCCAAGCATCCCATTCTTTTCATCGATTTAATAAGCATATTTAGAAAAAGTACATTGAAATAGCCTCCCCAAACATTTTGCAGTTTGACTATGTTAGTCATATGCAATAGGAGTCTTTTTAATCAGTCTGGAATAAAAGTGATCCATGAAAGATACCGGGATTTGCTCGTGTTCTGCGGCGGTCATGGTACTCACTCAAGTGGTGTGACTCGACATCCATGGCTTCTTCGCATTTTCCTGGCTACATAAAAGCATCAATCAAAACCTTTTCACAAGTAGAAACTTGAGACACCCGATGACCTCACTGAACGTGTGTCCACCTCACTACCTCTACACGAGTAGGAAATCCGTTATATATCACTTCCGCTAACCCTGCGGTTATCTGAGTGCATGCATTTGACAGAAACAGAGTGAAATAGTACAATGCTCAATGTCGTTTTCTTCCGGGTCTGAAAGTGTTCGTAATTGTGCTTCTTTGGATAGAAATAGTCATTCACGTGGACTGAAGGGTACCGAGTATCGGCAAAACTATGTGTCTAGTTGCCCATTCACTGAAGTGCACTTCCAGAGTGGGCCTAAACACAATTTCGGCTCTCTGAATGCTCAGAGATCAACCACACTGAAATCGGTGGCCCCCGGTAATGGTGATTGGGTTATTACCGATTCGGGCATCTGTTTCGGTGATTGGGATTCCTCAACAGAGGGCAATATGGCATCCGTCTCCGTTTCTCCGGCACACATAGTACGAAGACCACAAGCAGTTTTTAAAAGCACACATCTCAGTGAGAAACAATACAAACAGAGTCCTAGAAGTGATCGTGGTTTACGGAAAACAACCGATTTGAATTCGGAAGAAAACACTCGGGCTCATAAACCCGTCCGATCGAGACCAGTGTTTCGAAGCCATTCGTTTAATCCACGAGATACAGTGGCGGGTTGGAATCGAATGACTGATTCTCCGCCTCCAGTACCACCGCGTACCAGAAGAAGTCGACGTGCAGCTTCCAGTCGGCACCGATGGCCTTCAGATTCTGATATTATGCTGAATAATGTAAGTACATTTTTTACATTGTGCATGTATTTGTGTGTGTATGTGTGTAAATGAGTATGACACTTAAATCAGAATGCAGATTAAATGAGCAGGGGTTCTTCAAATTATTCTTTCCCTCAGTTCTATCCTCGTCTTCCGAGACCAACCCGGAGTTTTAGGTGGAACGCGGTTGCCCAACCCATTCAAACAACAACGACTACCACGTTCGTAGGAATAGGAACACCTTTTATCCCAATCCGGCATACTCAATGACAAATCGTCTACTCGAGGAGCACGGTGATGTTGATGATATTCATTCGTTTGGAATGAATCACGAACGGTCGAAAACAAATCCGGTCGTTCTAAATCAGTCCGACCTGCATGACAATAAGCATCCTGTCTATGTGGTAACGGATGCACGCCCAGACCACCAGCATCAGAATCAGCATCATCGTTTTTCCGATACCTACTCCAATGTGGTGTCATTCTCTACCACGCCCAACGGGAATTCCACACCAGTGAATGTGTTCACGATAGATGGTTCCCTTCACGCCACCCCTGTGACACCCGTCAGTGAAGATCGGAACAACCCAGTTCATCCGAAATTCTCCTCTCCCGATTTTCCGATTGAAGCTGTAAGCCGAATTCACTTAAGAAAACTGTCTCGCATTACGGATTCCGCAATCAGACTTTCTCGGTCTGAACACTATGCTTTGTTGATTCAACTGTTGATTCCTGTTTTAACTTAGTTCTTAATTAGGTATTCTGTCAACTAACAAAAGTATTATCGGTCGTAGACACGTAACAAGCTGGCAAAGTTGGGTTGTGCTATGATCTTTATATTCAGAATGAGAAGCGATCTGATTAGCTGCCCGGTAACCAGGTAGGTAGTATATTTGCGTTCTATCTGTGAGGTTCCGGGTTCGATCTCCAATTGGGTCGATGGATGCGCACTGCGAGTGAGACCCAACCAGGTCGAAACAGCTGTACAGTGCTTCACAGCTTTTCAGCTCGCGCCTCATTTACATGAATAATTCATCGTATTATCTGTTTGTGTATTTTTAAAATGTAATTGCCAGAACTTATATTGCTCTTGGTATCAAGAAACCGTAAATCGATGGATACAGCGGACATGTTAGAAAGTAGAATGATGTTAAAAAGCTATGATAATTCATGCAATAAGTTACGATTTGTCCTCTCCTCTGAATAAGTGTTAATCAGTAATTCACGCAACTGCAATCCATTTCGATCATGCCGGTTGCGATTCAGTTCGGTTCTTTTATTTTCTGGACACATTCCTTTTTTGTTCCAATCCGGTTGATATTTTTTGAAAATCTTTAAGAATCGCATTTTCACGTAGCTTAGACTAACCGTTAGTGAGAAGAGCTAGCAAAAGCATCTGAGATTCGTTGGAGATGGGAAAAAAGAGCCCTATACTGGACAGTTAAGAACTGCACCGAAACATTCGGATAAGAAAGATAGTTCATGAAACCGAGAAGAAGGATTACGGTTTTTTTTTAACTCCGATTCAAAATTTTGTATCAGTCAATGAACATGGTCCTTTAGGATCACGAAATGAATCCAATTCACAATCGGACACACCCGATAATTTAGTTCCGTGTCACAAAGTGTGCCGTTTAAGAATATCATCCAGGCTGAGGATAACACTTATCCTTTCGGTATCTAAAGCTGGACCTTTAGTTCCTGTAATTATGGGATCCACGATGTAATACTGTTCATCATACCACGGTTTGTAGGAAATATCTAGCGACAGGAACCGTTGGAAACGTGCACCAAATTTAGCCTATATTTGACACTTGCTGATAAATACACACTGCCAGTTCCCAGATGCAACCCTAATTATTGTGTTCCATCTAGATGCATTCAGGAGGTCCATTCGACGATAATCTGCCTTTCATCAACTCTAAAAATATACTTTTAACATCATCAAGAGAACTATTAAATCGAAAACGAGACCAGTCATGCGTATTTTACTCCATAAATCGTTTCGCGACCCCATTAAGGAACTGGGAATCTCCAGCTATCTGTTTAATCACCCTGCCTTGCAGGCTACGATGGAATGGGAAAGTAACTGGGCCCATCCTTTCTTATCTATTGCTACCATTCACCAATGATTCCAAGCATCACACTTGTTCATTTGGTCTAGCCGAACTGAAAGAACGTCCAAATGTCATTCTACTCTGTTTCACTTTCGAAAGCGCCCGCATATATATATATATATATATATATATATAATATATAATATATATATATATAATATATATATATATNGTCAAAGCCCCACAGATACCCTGGCCCAGATCCGACACTGAACGTTAATTGACCCATGACCCTTTGACCTAAGTGTGTGACCTCACCTTTCCTGTTTCATTCCTCTTTCTCTCTCTACATATATATATATATATATATGTACAGTACGAAATCTGGGCTTTCTTTCCTTCTATGCTGCAATTGAGCGTTTCTGACCGCTGAACTTCCTGTATAACACCGGAAATGACCTGGTGTTTCAATGATTAATGTGCCCAGATAGAAGCACACAAATCGCTCGGGTTCACAACATACTCTTTTCACAGTTGGAGCCATAGTTTATTCACGTCCTTATCTTTATGATATCAACCCGAACTTGCACAGATACACAAGGTAATGTATACCTGCTGGGACGAACTAATCACAAATTCAGGCAATGCGACCTGTGATTTGGTCATGCCGCAATTCATCCTGACTAAATTCTGGTAGCAAAGCCCCGATTAACTCATCGTGAACGGTGATTCAACATCCGGTTCGGTAATCTATGAATAGTTCAATTTTCTTCTCGCTACCAACCTTCTTGAAAAAGGTTGCCTGGAATCTCCATATCTTCTATCACGTTGTTATCCTCATAGGTTCAGATATCACCGTTATGGTTTCGGATGAAATCCCGAAAACTGGATTAGAACGCAAGGTCTGATACTTGCGTCAGAATGTTCAAGAGAACGGAGCAAACAAACTCACCCCCGCCCCCGATTACGACTCTTCGTAATCGAGAGAATTCACTTGGGAAAAAGGTTCGGATCAACCAATAACGAATCTGACGGAACCCACTTCACAGACTCAATAGCATGTTGACTGCAGCAATCAGGAAACAACGTCGACAACCCTAGGAAATTGATTATGCATCTTCACAAGTTGGGTTTGTCTACGTGAAACACAAATATGTTTAAACGATCTCTTCACGAGCGAATTAACCATCAAACCTATGGAAGAATATGGAATCCGTCAGGTGCATCTAAACCAACCACCAGGATGGGTCTACCCTAGAATTCAACGGAATCCACCAGTTGAATTTCCAAAGCTAAGAAATTTGTTTGAGTCATATTCTTTTGCAGGTTAATTTCTCATATTTGAACTGTGAACAGTTTGGTAGCCTCGGCAGGATTCGTGGCCACGACCAGGCTCCATCTGCGCTCTTCTACTGCACGCGCTCTATCAGCTGGGGTAAGAGGCCAGACCAATGGCAATGATCTTTCCATATTTGGACCATATTCAACCGAAAGACTTCATATTACCAACGAACATAATGATGAAAGAGGTGTACTGATTGGGACAGAGCTATTCTAATAAACTTCCCTCAAACCGTTGCTACCTCTGTAAAACATTACTCTAAAGTTGAAACTTTAGGAGATTGGTTGGTTTGAACTGACCATCCTTCAGGCTTCACATTCACGCACATTTTTCAGCTCTTCTAGTCAGCCGTACACTCGAAAGCACTAGACTCGAGTTTCGCCCATCAGTAGTGGACACCCACCGTGAAGTTGAAGTTTGGAGGACTATCAGTTCCAATTCCACAACACTACTTGCAAGTAATTGTGAGGTAAGTGAGAGTTTAAGAGATAAAAGGAGTACAAAATATTGTCCAAGAAAGTTCTAGGGGTGTTTGGTAAAGTTCAAAATGCATCTTTTCTGCTGTAGTATCTTACTCTGAAGAAAGCCCAATAACTGGGTTTATAGCTTCTTTTTCACCGCAACAACCAATCAGCACTAACTACTTGATCTGACCATGTCTATCATACAAAATTTTGGTACTAAAATAAGCATCTGTTCTGTCCACATTTTTACGGTTTTTATTGTTCAGTTAGCCATTGGATGATCGGTTTAATACGTTGTTCAACGCTACGTGTTCACATTCCCTTCAGTATTCCAAAACACGCGAAATTCCATCAACCAATCCCATGACCTCTAGTCAAACGGCAACTATACGCATTCGTGGTGATCCCCAAATTCCGGAATGGCATCAGGATCCGCAAGCGCTTCAGGCACATGCCAATACTCTTCCCCAAACTCAGGAACAGCCTGGATTTGCAAACAGTGCTCAACCGACCGGTGAGTCAGCCGAATTTTCCAAATGGGACGGTGCCCTTCGGACGAATGGACCGACTCGAAGTCCACAGGCTACACGTCCTTCCTACACGAGAACATTTCACGGAGGTCTGACACAAGAAAGCCCCAAAAATTATCAACGGTTGAGCAACGTGACCTCCGTGGTTCCGCTTTCCGGATTATCCCCATTCAGCGGTGGATTTTCTCGAGATTCAGTCGGTTTACCCGGTCGCGAGTCTATCCGACACCAACAACCCGGTTTTCCGTCATCCGGTGAAAGTGTGATTAGTCGCCGATCGACTTTTAACGGGGCCACACTATCGTTTCATCACATTCGGTACGAGGTGAAAACGAAGAAGATGCCCTGGAGTCGTGCGGTAACCAAAACTGTATTGGACGACGTTAGGTTAGTTATGAATGATTGCTCCACGGTGAAAGCCACATTTTCATCATTGTGTTGATGTTGATGATGAAATGTGTAGTACCGAGTAGTTTCTGTTCCGTTAAAGCACCCGGTTACCTAGACCTTGAGGTTCGTATTGGTGAACCAAACAAGGCACTGATACGATAGACGTTGAATTGGCAGGGCAGTAGGAAGGCACTGTATCATCAAAGTCCAAGGGCGGTGATAAGGTACCACCACCACCACCACCACCACCACCACCACCACCACCACCACCACCACCATCATCATCATCACCACCACCACCACCACCATCATCACCACTACCACCACCATCACCACAACCATCTGTGAGTTGTCACATTTTGATTTGCTTTCCAGCGAAGAACTTATGTATGACATTTCTTCATCAGGAGTGCAATGGAATGCTATTTTATGATCAGAGTTATAATCCATAATTTTTCTCTTCCTGTGTTTCTCAGTGGCATTTTACGACCGGGGGTAAACGCCATTATGGGTCCTACTGGCAGTGGAAAATCCTCGTAAGTTTAATCTTGTTTCCCTTGAATGTAACATGTTACGTTCAGTAAATATCACTCGGAGCTAGGGATTCCAGGAGTCCATTGATTTCTCGCATTGAGTTCCGTCATATGTTTGATTGGTACTCGACTTTTGAGTGAACAATGTTCGTATTGGCAAAATACCTCGCATTATTTCCGCAGTTTGTGGTTTATCAGACAGTGCGAACGAGTTACTCACTCTCATTCCGCCAGCTGATTTTTATTTGTACAAGAAACATACTGATAGTTCCTGGAGGGGATGAAGGTTTGAAACAATCAACGGTATTGATAGAATGACACCTAGTTCGGTTCTGATTTTGAACAATCTTTATTCTTACACTTCATTATGTCTATTTTGGTTGCTGTCTATCGGCGACCTTTTTGGTCAATCGATTAAGGTAAAAAGGGAGAAAGCTGAGAGTAAGACCATGATAGAGCAGAGAATGCAGGTCAACTAGAGGCGCAAATGCCACTTATCAAGAGAACCTACTATCTTTACTCATAAGTCACTTTGATTCAGACGTCCACATCTATGGAACCTTGGACAACCAAATACATTATACGTGTTTTCCCCACATTCACTCCAGACCATAGACTATCGCTGGCATTTTTTAACCAGTCAACCTCATCAATTATCTTTTGTCAAGGAAACCTGTTCAATAAAATGAGTAGCACATTCCGTAGACTCTCACGTGACCATGACAATCAAGTAATATTCACCGGATGTTGATATTCCCTCTCTTTTCGCCCTCCAAACTTGTGCAATGCAATTTGAACAGTGATGCTTGAAAACTGATATCCCACACTTGGGTTCCATCTATGACCACCACCAATGTTGTGCAACACCGAATAATACGAGTCAGAGATCGTATTGGGTTGAGGTGAGACAAGTTTAGTGGGTTAAGTAGTACAGTAACGAAAGTCCATTTGCGTAGCCTGATATCAGTGGATTCAAAGATGAAGCTCGATGGAGACTTTTTCCGAATGAACTGCATAAGACTGCAGCTGTAAGGTGTTCATTCATTTGATTAAGCCCGGTTATTCGTTCATAAAACTAGAACAATTGCGATAAAGCATAAAATGTTGATTTTGTGGAATAAATTCTTTGTTTTCTGATAAGTAACAGTTATTAGGGATGCTGCTCACATTATGCCACAGGGCTCTTAGAAACAACCAACCCAATGGGGTATTTCTTTCAATACTCGTTAAGGTTCATTGGTGGTGGTCATATAAAAGTTAACCCAGAAGTCCCGGTTTCGAACAACTGCAGAGGTGGCCATCTCTCCTTTTTATGTACTTTTCCAGGCAACCTCTGTATAGCCGCAGCCTTCTTCCGAAAGGTCAATGGTACATTGGTACATTCGATAAAAAGGATGTAAAGAGATATTTATTATTTATTTTATCAATTTAAACCAGAACCAAACCGAGAACAAGCACATCACGGTTATATTTCGTAGAAGAAATTTTACTAGAAAGCCTCCTCTTTTTCTTATAAACACGTTAATGTTCTCAAGTCCTCAAATAATCGGATATATGCATAGTGATAAATATTTATTGGACTATTCATATATTTCTGCGTTCTATTTACCAGTTTATTGGATGTCTTGGCCGGTCGAAAGGATCCGCGATTTCTTTCCGGCCAAGTGCTTGTAGACGGTGCACCACAGCCGAAAAATTTTAAATGTATATCCGGTTACGTAGTTCAGGTGAGTTCCCTTTTGTCATCCAACTCGCAATATTTGCATCATGTTTTTGTATTTAACCCATGGATTTCCGCTACATCCTCACAAATTAGTTATACTCTCGTGGTGGAAATATCTGAGGCTGCACGTTTACACTATCAACATCACCACCACCACCTATATCCGCTTTCATATCATCAAATTATATACTACTGATGGGTTGGCTCTCTTTTTCTGTGAAAATTTGCCATCTTCCCGCTCAGTACCTCACATATGCTCCTGGGGCCTCTTTTAGTACACCATTTTAAGTCCTTTAGCTCAGAATTTCGGTTACGATAGTGAGAAACGAATGTTTCTCATTTTATTGGTTTTCAACCACTTTCTTTTTGTAATAAGGGGCTACAGATTAAATATCGAAATAAACATAAATTCACTCAATATTAAGAAATAAAATAATGAAAATGTAAAATCAACACCACCACTACCGCAACCAGAGAAAGCAAGCAAAAGCTATATGGGTAGAAAACCTTGGTGATAACTGGGTCAATATTGCGCCTAATCATATGTGGCTCACCACTTCAAGTCCAGGGGTTTAAGTTACTGGCTTCCATAACAGGTCAATGTTTCCCCGAAATTGTGGGGTTTGCTTATACTACAACTTGGATAAGTTCATTCACACGATTACAGGTCTAATCGAAACCGAAGCAACCGGTCCCTGTGAAACACTTGTCGGTTCGAATAAGCAACAGCATTTATACTGAAGTAAAACTTTTTTTCAAGTAATAATTAACAAGCCTTGGTGAGTCTTTATAGACGTGATTTTTCTGATTCGCTTATACTCAGCAGATGAAATGGTGCAGAATGTAGCGGATACTCTCATTTCGTCAGCAGTGGTTGACCTAGACCATAATGAGTTAAGACTAGAAACTACGTAGATCGAAGTAAATAAGATATAAATTATTGTCCATACCTAAAGCATTAATACAGTTGATAGATATAATTAAACTCTAACTGATCATAAAGAAAACATTTTAGTGCATCACAATCGGCCAGTACTGTAGACAAACCATGTAGGTCACTGATCAAAGAATAAATGGCTGTCTAATCACACTGATGAAGCCACTAGCACTTCGAAACCTCGTACTTGGGACAAAAGGTGGTGATCATTGAACAATGCACTTGTGTTACAAACCAAACGATCAGTGATTTTGCATTGCTTCTTCATGTATTAGCCCAAAACTAACACTAATTGTTTGAAACATTGCGTGTAACTTGATGCCTACCAGTTGCTGAACGGTAATATTCATGTCAGTAGTCATCATGATAANTAGATTAACGGATGGTAAAATGCACCGTGATTTCGCGCACCAAAACGGAGTTTCATTGTGATGCGTGTGGAAACTGATTGAATAGACGCCAACACAGGTGTGAATGGCTGTGTAAAAATGGGGTTTACGTTAGCCGATGGGTGGCGAAAATAAGGTCACCTGATCAACATGCAGAAAATCACACTAACCAGACGGTGCAGACACTAAAGCGTACATGTGCACAAATAAAGTTAATCACCCCCACAAATATGATTTTCGTATGTGGTGTAGATTGGTATACTTTCGGTTTCATTTTGTACAACTTTTAACCTCTCATTGTCGTACGAGGTAGTTTGAATCATCTGTAATTTTTGTTGCTATAAGTGGAGAGAGAAAAATTGGAAGGGTTCAAATGCTGAGAGCAGGATCAAGGTGAAAATGCAGATTATAAAGTGAATAGACGCGAATCTCCACTGTTTACTAGTGACTGGGTTGTTTAGAAAACCTCCCACCAAAAGGAACCCGAACGTGGCGTTGGATATACACTGCTGATGAGAAGAAACCAGAGCGAAATATGCCTTCTGAGTGTATATCGCTGACTGGATGGCTTGATGGATGTGTGCGAATGTAAAGTATGTAACATGATCAATCCCATACACTGCCCGAACCTACAGCAACATCCTTATTTGAAGAGAGGCTTTCGAATGAAGTTAACGGTTAGTCAACGGTTTACTGTCGTTTCTGTTGAAATGTTTGACTAAATCTGAAGAAGACATTTAAATAAACACCGATTGTTTATTCCTGG